GCCTTATTTATATATATATATATATATATATATATATAAAATGATAAAGTTCTAGTATTGTAGAATTTTCTTTTCAATGATAATGAATATAAAGATCTTAACAAGTTGATTTAACCGTTAAATTAAAATACATATAATAAGTATGCAAATCTTTTTTTTAGAAAAAATTAAAATTATTTGATATTTCATTATAAGAATTCAAATTAACGAATAATCATAAAATTAATTTATATATTAATTTAAATATATATAATAAAGTATCATATAATTTTAAAAGTTTTTAAAAATTTGTAGATTGTACATTAAAATTTTTTAGTTTAACAATTAGATTATTAAAATATGATGTACAATATCAGTTATTAAGTAGAGTAAGTTTACTAAGATTTACTCTTAGAGTAAGGGAATTTCTCTCTCACACACACTCAAGCCCACCGATTAAAGTTCATATTAGGTTGTGTGACACGTATGAATTACTCTAATACGTATATAAAATACAACATCGACATGGACAGTTTGACACGATTAAAGTCCAAAAATATAGAACACGGGGACACAACCTCTCTGTACATAAGGGTTTATCAACTTACACCCACTTGCCTTTTTAGAAGAATTAAGTTGACAAGTTGCACCTTTGTACATTTTAAAAAATATTATAGTTATATCTTGTTAATATACTCATTCTAAAAAAGAAATGGGTGTATATTGACAAACTCCATAAATATTTGCTAACTTACATCCACTTGTTTTTTTTAGAAGGAGTAAGTTAGCAAATTATAACTATGATTTTTTTTTAAATGCACAAAGATGTAACTTACTAACTTACTCCTTCTAAAAAAATAAGTGGGTATAAGTTAACAAATGTTTATGAAATTTACTAACACACACCCACTTCTTTTTTAGGAGGGTTTAGGGTTTATTTTAAAAAATATTGTGGTTATATCTTGTTAATATACTTCTAAAAAAAGAAGTGAGTGCATGTTAGCAAATTTCATAAATATTTGTTAACTTACACCCACTTGTTTTTCTAGAAAGAGTAAATTAGCAAGTTATAATTACAATTTTTTTAAATGCACACATGTGTAATTTATTAACTTACACTTTCTAAAAAATAAATGGGTGTAAGTTAGCAAATGTTTATGAAATTTGCTAACAAACACTCACTTCTTTTTAAGAATATATTAACAAAGTATAACTACCATATTCTTTCAAATGTATTTAGGTATAACTTGTTATCTTACTCATTCTATAAAAAAAAAAAAAAAACAAGTAGGTATAAATTGACAAACTCCTATATATAAAAAGGTCGTGTCCTTAGACTTTAATTGTGTCAAACTATCTATATTAGTATTATGTTCCATATCAATTTCAAAGTGTTCCATACGGATCATGCAACTTGGTATGAATTTTAATGTGATAAAAATATAACAAAAATAAAGCTATTTGATTGAATGAAACTTGAAGAGATTGGAAATTAATTTTGAGAGATTTAGTCAAAAAATAATAAATGAAGATATTATTATTATATTATTTATCATTACTATTTTAATATTTAATTAAAAATTATAAATATATAAGAGAGAGATCAAATAACATCGATATAACTTTTATTAACTATTAAATCATTTAATAACTTTTAATAAAATGATTATTTTTGAAAATTTACGGTTAAATTAAGAGTTCTTTACTCCTATATGACACACACACACACATATACATATATAAAATTTGATATATATAATCTAAGAGATATGAACTTTCAATCTAATGGTTGGATTTTCAAATTTCACATTTAATATAAAGTTATTGAGCGATGTAACACTTAGTAAAAATTACACCGGTATCGTTTGAACC